GGCGCTGGTGGAGCTGCATGTGCTCAACCCCATTCAGCGACTGCTGATCTCCTTTGATTGCTCTTTCATGCGGAGCTTCTGGAGTGGCCTGACCAATTCCTTGTGTCTTCGCTCCGTTGCTGGCTTCCACACCATGTCAGTGAGTTATTTGGTGGCGGCAGTTCTGAGCCTCAACATGGCCATCGTGATGTATATCCCTTGGCGGTATTCAAGAGACAACTACGACACCTCTCTAGATGAACCGCCAATCCAGGAAGTGACTGTGGAAAGTGCGCCTGCCCCGGCCGAACGCGTCCGGGATGAGGCGGAGATTCAAGAGCCGCACCACCCAGGTCAGCCAGATCTCAGTAGCACCTCCCATTCCCTGTGATGTTGGTACAAAGTACCAATGTTTACAAAGTAATGTTCAGGATGGGGTTTCGGAAACCGAACCCTGCGTGATGTTGACCACATTACCCACCTGTGCCTGTAATAGCAGTGGTACATAACATAGGTGGGTGCTTTTCCATTCTTTAATCATTCATTTTGCTGCATGTCATGAAAGCGTGTATGAGCAGAATGGATTGTACACAATTGGTGCTGTACAGTATTTAGGGTCTTTGGACTCTGTTGTAAGAAAAGGGTTTTGTTTTTGAGACGCAAGCTGGATATTCTTGGAGCAGCGTAGCAGCATTGTCATGACTGTTAGTGAGGACACTCCAACGCCTCTAACACTTGTGGACAAGTGTACCAGGGTCTGTTCTGTGTCAGGCTCACGTAAGACCCAGCAGATTCTTCCTCCAGCAAGGCCAAGTCGGAGCTTTGTGACCAAAATCACGAAAGCTAGCTGTAGCTAGCTGGAGTCTGTCTTGCTTTAGCAAGGAGGGTGGGAGCCCAGGACCTGAGTGCTATTACCTGATATATCAGGACTAGACCCCCCCCCCTCGCGGGGTTCAACTCCACCTCCTCCTCCTCCTCGGTACCTGCTGCTGCTGCTGCTTGGTCGCTGCTGCTGCCGCTGGCATCTCATCTGCGCGTGGCTCTTGGCTGCTTGCTGGTTGCTGCTGCTTGCTTGCTGCTTGCATGCTTGGTGCTGCTGGATGCTCTTGGCTGCTTGCTGGTTGCTGCTGCTTGCTGCTTGCATGCTTGCTGCTGCTGGATGCTGGCTGCCTGCTGCTTGTTGTCTGCTCCGTTTTGCTGCTGTTGCTGTTTGGGGTTGTTGGCTGCTGTTGGTTCTGAAGAAAGCCTATTCGTTAGAACCGAGAGTAGTTGCATTCCCTCTGAGTCGTGAAACGATGCTACTTTCATTATATCCTTAAGAAGCTTGGACAGGCATGTACCCACCCCACAACCCCCAAGAGTACAAATCAGAATGCACTATGCGCTATCCATGCAGATCAAAAGATGATACTTACTACACACGAATGACAGAACCCAGTAAGATGTTTGAACGGGCTGTTTGCTTCACTCATGGTAGTCCGCGTTCCATGTTCCAGCGACAGGGAGCATGCACAAGCGTTGCGACGGAGACTTCGGTCGCTGACACATGTTCCCATGCAACCCCTAGATGTCAATCATGCACACCGCTGCTGGCTGCATCGTCAGCATTTATTCGTGGAAAAAACATATATATCAGATATATCTGTCTTTCCACGTCGCCCTTCTACAATTACTGTGCTATTGTTCGAGACCAAATGTTGGGGCACGAAAGACTCTAAGGAAAGCTCACTCTTTCCCTGCTGCTGCTGCTGCTGTTGCTGCTGCTCCTGCTTGGTAGCTGGTGCTGATGCTTGGTAGCTGCTGCTGCTGCTGCTGCTGCTGCTTGGTAGCTGCTGCTTGGTAGCTGCTGCTGCTGCTGCTTGGTAGCTGCTGCTTGGTAGCTGCTGCTGCTGCTGCTGCTGCTGCTGTGCTTGGTAGCTGCTGTTGATGATGCTGCTGCTGCTTGGTAGCTGCTGCTTAGTACCTGCTGCTTGGTAGCTGCTGCTTGGTAGCTGCTGCTGCTGCTGCTGCTGCTGCTTGGTAGCTGCTGCTGCTGCTGCTTGGTAGCTGGCGCTGCTGCTTGGTAGCTGCTGCTGCTGCTTGGTAGCTGCTGCTGCTTAGTAGCTGCTGCTGCTGCTGCTGCTTGGTAGCTGCTGCTTGGTAGCTGCTGCTTGGTAGCTGC